TCTGGTTTAACACCTTGGTCGCTACGTCACCCATATAAGGGTAACATAGCTTTTTATTAAGGAATGAAACAAATTAATTCTGAAGTCATACTATCGATAAAAATGAATCCAAATAGAATATTGTGAATACGGTGAGGTTAGAAGAATAAGTACCATGAAAAAATTCTCATAATTTGTTATGCAATAGTTTCAAAATTAACATCTTAAGCAATCGACAAGCACCATTCCATAAAAGCCTGAAAATGCCATCCTTGTACCGCGTTCGAACCCCGATAAGAACTCCTGTGTGACCCATCGAGAGTTTGGATTGTGTATCCCTCTCTAATGGCCATAGTAATCGATGTCGGTAAATACCAAGAAGACAAATAGACAGTATATAAACCCAAGACGCGAAGTACATCAGTCTTCCGCGTTCGAGGGTGGAGTTTCTCGAGTTATCGAACTAGATATGTGTGTTCATCGCCCCAAGGGGGGGTTGGAAGAACGTGCTTCGACGCTGCGATGCACAAGCCGGAAGTATCCGTTCCCGCTCCTCCAAGAAGTCTGCCACGACGCTTCGCGGCATCTACAATCACGCGAGGGGGTGTATTGGGTGAATCTAAAGGGGTGACAGGGGGCGAGCTGGTGACGTCTATCGAAAGGCAGAATCGCTTTACGGTACCGCGAATCCGCGTATTCGATCATCGTCCCAGAATCGTCGAAACGTCTTTTCAGAAGCTCTCGGATTTACGGCTCGGGAGTATTTGATCACGACCGTTCCTCGTTGCGTCGACGGTCGAGTTTCGACAACGATTGGTTCTCGTCCATTGTTATCGAGTGGCTCCTTTAAGCGGGGGCGAAAGAATCTATAGGTACGCTGCGCGAACGAATCGACGACAACGTCGTTTTGCGACGCCGGAGGATTGCTCGAACTGGATATCCGTGAATCTCGTGTCTGCGAAGTCGGTGAGAATTAAATTTAAACCAGTCTGGCAAGGAAAAGTAATAACTTCCCATGGTTGCGGAAGCAACACGGAAATATGAATTTATTGGTTGACGTTTCGACCGTGGATGAAGATTTTGAGGATAAGGTTTCAGGTTTCATCATAATTGAGATAGTGACAGAATTGTTAAAAAGTTTCTTCTTTGACTTCCCTTTAATTTTATAGGCAAACGTGTTCTCCACTGTAGCGGTTAGATATTCCTAGCAGGAACCGAGAAGGCGTAGAGACTCAAAGGTAGGGGCGATCGATGTGTAGTGCGTCTGGTCGTCAAAGTTTTCGTCTCTTCCGCCACGCGGAGACTTCCTATTTACGCGGAAGCCTCATGCTCGCCTTCCGGTCCCTGTTTCTAACAAATTTCCCAGCGATTCGAGAGCTCTGTGCCAACGCAAAATCAAGAACCGTGGGATTATTGGGAACGCCCAACTTCTAGCGAGACGATCGACTCCCGTGGATGTATGCGGTGGGCTAACCAGCGGATACTGACGCTTTGTGGTTGGACCGAGGTGACTAGACGAACGCCAGCTGTCAGTAGTTACGGTTAAACTGCCATCAGACGGGAATATCGTGCCAGCAGGCAGGCATCAGTCGAAAGTTCCACGAGCGGTAATATTATCGAAATTCGACGCTGAAGTAGCCTGAGGTATAAATACCTCTTTATCGGATATAACACGTCCAACTCGCCTAACTCAATGTTTCGACAGTGGCATAAGGTTACTTACAGAAGTGTATCAGACGCGTATAACCTGTTTCGAGTACTTAATCCTTTGCATCAATGTACTTCGAAGTAACCTAATCGTTACTGTTGTAAAGTAGAATTTGTATTTAGCCCCTTACTGTTTATATCCGAACCATACAGCGCGTATGCGAGAGGATGATTCGAATGTATGGCAGTTAGCTTTGTATTACCGCAAGAGTACTAAGTGTTGCTGTACATTACGCTGAGCCTGAACTCATAAATTAATAAATGTCTGTATCGATTAATCCATAAATTGTGTACCTTTTTCCGGCCTGAAATTTATTCCTCCAACTCATTTATGAAATGATGTGCCAAACTACTGTTTAACAATGGTTACTATTCTATTTCTTACCTCATCCCCCGTGAAGGAAACGAACACGTTCGACCACGAGGTCCCAGATTAATTCGCATTCGTAGGCAAAAAGGAAACGGTATCCCCGCTTGTGCTCGACGACAGCTTGAATTTCGATCGAAGCCGAGGGTCTAGGAACAGACGTATTGTTTTCTGCGCCAGCTTTCTCCGAAATTTATCTTCGTGAAAGTTTCCTGGCGCCCCTTCTCCGTGCATTCGAAGAGTTCCTGGATCTCTCGAGATTTCAAACACAGCGGAGCACGTAGCCCAGAACATTTACCGAAGACTCGAGGCTCCATCTCATCTTTGGATAAACGAACTCGACGCACAAGTGGGTTTCGAATCCGTCTGTTCTGGCCGGCTATATTCATGGGATCACGCGTGCCTTTCTTCCACTGGCGGGTAGAGAACTGCTGGGAGGGATCTCAGCCGAAAATAATCAATCGAACGGACGTGGAAACCGACGCGGAATCTTTCACTTGTGACAAGTGACAGTGTCAGGTAGATTTTTTATTTGATCTTCTAAAATGTCTGGTCCAAAAAGAAACAAAATTTTTGTGTTTTGATAAGCGAAGTGATTTTTTAATAACAGGCAAACTGGAAAATTTGTTTGTCGAGTATGATTATGAGTAAATTCTACCTGTCGCTGTCACGTGATCAGCGCTATGTATACTTGATATAATATTTATCAAAAATGGCAAACAAATTCCACCCTATGTGGGGGGTTGTTTCGACATGGTCGCGCCGTATTTTCTTTCAATTTGCACGCATGGCTAAGCGCGATTCAAATATATCGCTGTCATGTCTGGTTCTCGGTCGTGAGCGTGAAATAAAAATATGTCGAACGAAAAGAAACGTACCAGGGATTCTCAATGGGAACCATATGGTCATCCGGTATAACCTACTAGTACTTCTCACGTATCGTGTGTGGAAGATGTAAAAAGGAGAAGCCACAACTATCGAGTGGGTTGCAACAAATTATTTGAATGCAAAAATGACGAAACCTTTTCGAGTTCCCTTCTTAATGTAAATGGAGAACCACTGCCATAGGCGATCCTATATCCTAAACCCAGTCTGCCGCTTGTCAAACACGTACCCGCGTTATTTTTGGCTCCGTTTACCAGTTTCCTCGAACGTCAGTCCCGAGAAAAGTGGTCTTTCGTTTGCATTTACGTTCTCCACGATAAATCGATCCTTAACCTTTTATTTCCCCCGACAATCCCTTCTTATCAGCCTCTGGCAGGAGTGAAAAGCCCCGTCCACGACGGCGCAGTCCTCTTCGCGTTCGAGTGTACGTTTGGCAAATGAAATTTTCCTTCAGGTTGACATAGTTGTATATCTATTACGAAGACGCGGTAAAGTGGAGATAGGTGAAGTGTTTGAGGGTCTATTGCGGTTGCCTGGGAAAACTATCGACTCCACTGCGGCAGGGAACGCTGATTCTTATCTGATCGCAACCCTTAACAGTCACAACACCCTGGCTTAAGATATGTGCTACCATACTTGGAATGGAAAATAGTCTGATAGAGAAAGCAGACGTAGTTTGTGGTGTTAAAGCTTACTGGACACAGTGGGTGCTTCTATGTAGAAGTGAAAGGAATTTTAAAGTTAACAATAAATGATTCGTACTCCAAAATTTTAAGTAACTGAATATAAGTGTGAAAGAACATTCTTTTATAACACCTCTGTGACATCCCTCAAACCATATATTTTTATTTACTACACACACATTTGAGAATTGAATAATTTTTTATCAATAAAGAAAACTGTGATACATAATAATAAATACCATCTTTTGATAACTCGCCATAAACACGAGTAAATAATACTGATCACCAGGCATCCTTCCCCGACAGCCTCGTAAAATCCGCCAAGAACTGCCGCTGGTAAAAGTAACCTAAACAAATCGCAGTGTCCTATTTCCCTCGACGCAATGATACAAGGAAATGAAAGAATAAATTCTTCGCACGTTCTTTGGTAACGCGAGAGCAATGGGGTAACGTCAATGTTCGCAGGGCGAAACTAAACGGGGCAGGCGACGACTACAGCAACGATAGTGCATATTTAAGAAAGGGCGCAGCCGTGAGACGGTCGCAGGAAAAGTGGCGCGGGATGTTAAACACACCTGCGCATCGAAAGTTCGTCATGAATAATTCCGTTTGATTCCTTTAACGCGGTCGCGTGGAACTTCCGTAAGTTTCCCGTTCAACGATAATTGACTTTGCGTCTCACAGAGTCTATTTATTTGCACGCCTTCCGGGCTCCACGGTTTTATACTTCCTGTAGAACGGTGGTCACGGTATGGGGAGGGCTGGCGAGAAGGGAGGATGAAGGATCGAACCGCGTGCTAAACGGATCCGAGAGCTGCAAAGACGGAGAAAACAAGGGGAGTCGGTGCCGAAGTTTAAATTGCGAGCAAGGATCGAGTTGAGGCTTAAATGGCTAATTGATCCAGAAATTAAATCACCCTCTCTCGTTTACGCTTGCCGACGCGATGCCTCGAATTCGAAACGACGAAACACCGCTGCGATACAAGATTGCTAATTATACGATTTAATATTCGCTCCGTGGATGATTATAATCAAATAAATCAGTTGTCGGGTTCCTGGAAACGACCTGCAAGTGGATGAGGCTCGTTACTAGTCAGACAATGCAAAGTACATATATTCGACATAGTCTCGACTACCTATTCATTACAGATAATGTTTGGCTTTGGAATAATAAGAAAATGAAAGTCAAGTAAAATAATTTAATATACTATTTATCTTTCTTCCCAATTTGAATCTTTTTATTCGATATTTTTCAATTTTTTCATTATTTTAATATATTATAATATATTAATTAATTAAAAGCCCAAAGCTTAGCCAGTGTATCTATAATTTTGTTGTCTATAGAACGAGAATGATTTCAGATCGTATGATTATTGCAGGGTGGTCCAGCCTTCCCCGTGAACCAGACTCTGTCGAACATTTATGGCCGCAGGTCGGCCAGTCCCGATGTTCCAGACCACGTAGACGAAGTTCAGGTTCGTAAATATGTATGTAATGTGGTGTGTGAATTAATTATAACAATGTACTAACAGTACGTTCAAAATGGCCAGGGTCAATTTTAAGCTTCGGCGCGCTTCCTCTATGCAGGCTAATGTTACGTCAGTATAATTATCAGTTTCAAATATAATTACCTTCATCTGTATTGAACGCACACGATGTTATTTTAGGGTACGCCTAGAGCAATCGTAGCTATGCAGAAAACAATTTTTGATACATAATTTTTAACATTTTAACCCTAAATTTGAGACTTCTTTAAGGCACTACAAAATTTTACAAAGATTTAAAAATAGTTGCATTGAATTTCTTCAAATTTTAAAGATTGTAAAATGGCACATACATTATTTTTATCAGACCACTCCAATTTAATCGATCGACGATGCCTTGACAATACTCGACTGGCAATGCAGGCACCTGTCAGATTCCTGCAGACTGCTTCAGTTCCTTCAACTGATTCCTTCCTTACCGACGAGTTTATCCCTTGTAATCCCTATGCTGACATGACTTCGAACGCTCGTCGGTAGTTTAGCGACCGCCGATAACATTCAATGACTAAACCCTGCGATGATCTCCTCCTACTTCCACCGAGGAACACCGCGACGTTTACACAAAAACAATTGCTAACAGAAATACTCCTGACAAATTTAACGAGAGCTCGCAGTCGACGTTAATAATAATTCTCTTTTGAAGATGGGCACAAAGGAGCTATCTTTGAAATGACAAAAGCAGAAATTAATTTGTTTTGCATCAAGGGTAAACGATAATTTTCCGGGAGCCTGGTTTTCACTCCCCCGTTCCTTTTCGTTTTCTCATTTCCGTAGCGAACAGGGCGGAAAAAAGGAGATGTGCTTTATCTTGGTTCAAGATACAGCCCACCGTTGTTGTTATATCTTTCCGCCGCTTTCTTTGCGGAATTCTGCAGCGTCTTGGAAACGTGAGGAATGGAATTCGTTGGGAGACGATCGGCGACGAGACTCGTTTCATAAAATCGATAACCCCGGGGGAAATTCTTCTTCGCAAACAACCCCTGTTGTTCTCTTATTCGAGGGGTTATGTCACCTTGACGCCCAGAAACGCGGAATACCTTTACGTATTTTTTGCAACAGTAGTATATACCTTATCAAAATCATTTTTCCAGTCAGTCCTTTTCTATGACCCAGAACATTTTTAAAAATTCAAACTGGCAGATTCCCTCGCGGCCAGACAATTTGTAAATCATTCCAGAAATTAGCGCGCCAGCATCATCAATGCCGTTTCGCGGCTTTCCTGCTTGCCAACCAAGTGCAGAAGCTGCGGTCTAGCCAGCTGTAATGTATTCCATTTGATTTCACCAACCTGATAAGCCTGGCAAAATTCTGCCACGCTGTTAGTTATTTAGTCTATCGCGACATTGGTTTTCAAAGTGTGGGGTGACATCTGAGCGAATTGGTGAGTCTGAATGTTTACCAAATAGAATTAGTCTGTCGCGAAAGCGTGGCTTCCCAAACAAACGGTGGCAACTTTCCAAAATCACGTGGACGTTATTATTTGAACAGAGCGACCATAGTGTACTTATCAAATTTTTATTCAATTTCACAAGAATCTATTCAACAAGCTCCGTTTGCAATCATTTTATTCTTCTGTCACTTTCCTAAAAAAAATTCCTATCAATTGCAAACCTTATCAGTTTGAACACGACGACAATGACACATTCGACGAAGGCTCTGAATGAGACAACCCTAACGTTTCCAGCGTGTAGATTATAAATAACTCCCAATATAACTCGACGCGATCGTGTGCCATTGAACCACGCGGTTGCCGTTTTCGCGGCGCGAAGTTTAATTAAGCGGCCGCTTAATCAGACCAGAGCGTAAATTTTCGGTTAAATTTCCGCGTGAAGACAATACCGTCGAGCATCGATCTTGAACAGCGTGACATCTCCATTGTCTGAGAATATTTATAACGCACAGATTTGTTAGCTTTCTTGTATGAATCGCGAGCCACATCGAGCGGGCTATTTCGAACCGTGTGTCAGGAAAATATGAAAACGATTCTGTACCTTCTGTCAGGCATTGAATAGCATTCTCTGAAGAGCTAGCGTTTCAGCCAGTTTCCAAAGCCATATGAACAAGCATAATGAATTGCGAAATTAGAAGAGGATCGTAAAATTAAAATTCGTTCTCGTGTGACTGATCGTTATTGTATTCGTTTGACTTTTTTGATTCCCCAATAATTAATTACGTTTGTCTGCAAAGAATTCCACCCTGAAAACGTTCCATTAGATAAATCTCCCTAGGTTGAAGTGATTAATGTTTCTGTCGCCACGTAACCGCGCTTACACGGAGCACGTGCGAAAATATGCTTGTTTACGAGTTTAAAGGCGATCGTTCGATCGCCGCGCGTTGGCCAAACAGCATCGCGGCGTTGGATGAGGAGAAACGTGTCGGAATTAGACCACGACGCCTTGGTAGGAGCGACGGAACGTGGCAACCACCAACGTCGAGACGTTCTTACGACAGTACCGACGCCGACGTCCATCCCTCCGAGGTAGAAACTCGAACTCTCCTCGAAACTTGTGCTCGTGACTACGCGTCTGCGTCCCTGATAACCAGAGATGACCAAAATTCTTATCTAGATAACAATTTTGAACAACGAGCATGATTTGAGTAGCTCTGTACCTGTTAAACAAAAATTGAAACTTGAATTACAAATAAAAAAGAATCGAATGATCAAATAAAAGTCTAACTGTTAGTAAATCATTATTGAGTTTGTTATTCTGATTAAATTTTGGTCATCTCAGTTATAAAAAAATTTGTGTCGAGTGCTTTTTCCGTGTTTTCGACTTTCTCAATCCTGAAAATGCAAATACTGTAATAAATTGTAAATGTCAACCAGTGATAGAATGTTTAACTGCATAGTGTCCTGTGGCGTTTAAAGTTTGATTTTTAGTGATTCGAGTGAGAATTTCTTCGATTAGAGCCAAGAAAGCTTTCATTCGCCAGAGTCGTTTCTCGAGGGTGGAGGAAGATCGATGAAACGGGAACACGTGGATCGTAGTGCTGGGGATGAAAAAGAAGATCTGTTAGTTGACACGAATAAGTCGACCTTGCCAAACTCTTCCGTTGTTCTCGGAAGAGCGTCGTCAAATCGAGTGCTTGAGAGCCTCTAGCTGTAGATAAAACGAGCGCCAACGAAACGGATCTTTGAAGCCTTGGGTCGTGGAAATAATATATAGAAGCCGAAACTGCGAGGGTCAACGTCCCTTTTATACAAGGAAATCTCGTTTTTCTTTTAAACAACTTTTTCTGATCAAATCAAATTTATTAACAAAATTATTTCGTTACTTCATCAGATTTCCACCTACCTAATGAAATTCTATTCAAATCGAAACCTATCACGTGGTCTTCTCCCCAAAACCAATCTTCACAGCTGTCGAAAGCCAGAGACGTTTGCTTCACGCGTAAAAATACTTGAACAGATGGGTGCTCTCGTGGTGAGTCGTGATTTCAACGTGAGAAAGGTCTTTTAAGGTGGAATAACAAAGAAAATGCGGCCAGCAGTGTTCCAAACACGTAACGCGTTTCTAGTCGGACCTATATTGCCCGCGTCCATGGTTCGCTGGTAAACAATTTCCACGGGTGGTGTGTTGATATTCTTGGAAATGCATAAACGGTTTCAACCGCTTTGAAGTTTGCCTTCTTCCACGCGCGAAACCCCCATTAAACGTGAACAACGAGCACCAAACATTGTCTTCTTTTGGACGACGTTTAAAAATAGCATCGCGGGAAAACACAGGAGGACCAATTTTCCCGCGAACAGGAGAATTTCTCGCGGATAAGGGGGCGAGAAGAAGGGTGGCACACACGTCGTTGAATCCATGGAATGGGAAACATTTTTCTTCCATTAGCGTCAACCTATAGACGTTCGCTTCCGCCCCTCTGTCTTCGAATTTCATTTCTCACTTCTTTATCTAGCGTGAAACATTCCGTGGGATCGTTAGAGGAATTGCCAGCGCTGTTCGCTACTTCAGCGAAAGAGTTTCTTCCTTTTTATGGGAGCTCTTTTATTATCCGACACCCCCCCCCCCCCCCCCCGCTAGCAATGACGATACGGGGTCGCGAGTTTCTCGACTTCGATCGGAGAGTAGCATCGATTGACTTGGTCTTTGTGCGTTCGTTCTTCCTTCTTCGCGACTCTTGGTATGGGAAAGTGAAATTGAAATTTATTGCTGAAATTTGTTTAGGAACTAGAACGAAATAGGAAGCGACAGACACTCGTTGATCAGTATTTATTTATAGTCTCAGGAAACACACACTATTTTATAACAATTAAAATTTGTTTTTCTTTGGCTAAAGTAATACAAAATAATGTATAAGCTTCTTCAATAGACATAGAGGGTACGCATTTTAATGGGATCAACTGTAGGTCTGGGATCGCTATAAATACATAAAATGCATTCTCTATCCATTACTTCTTCAACAACCAAGCTTCTTACACCCCTTTTTCTGTCGTGCACCCCAACATCGGGGGATCACCACTCCCCTTGACGTGTCGATCGGGATTTGATTGGCTCCCTCGTTCGTTTCATTCCTCATTTTCACGACTCCTCGTGAATCTCTGCACCTTGAACCAACGACTCGGCGTTGAAATTCGCGACAGAAGTCCGTCGAATAGGAAGGAAAGCTACAAGACTCGACGGACGCTGAAAATTTTAATTTTTCTTTGGCTGTACCCCGTGATAAATCTTGAAGGAAGGAAAAACCGACAGAAAAGCAATAGCGTCGAAAGAGTGCTGGCAGATTTTAACCAACGATCCAACGGGAGCCTGCGATCCAAATGTTTCCGTGCCCGTAACGGTGACTGGTAGAAAATTGCTCGATCGCATGAGACAGCTGCGAGACTCGATGATTTATTTTGTATCGGTGAAACGATTCTGTGAAGTTCGAGAGTCACGGCTGAATATTCACCCTGCAGTATTCTTGGGGGCGTATAAACGATGAAGTAAGAAGTGGAGAGTGGAAACGCTTCTTTGTGAGTAGATTTAAAGTCGACTGAATAAATCGAAAAGGGAACTAAAAATACAAGAGGAAATTTAAATGAAAAATACTCGTTCCAAACGTGCAATCATTCTGTGAAGTTCGAAAATCATGGATATTTACTCTGCGAGATTTTTAGAGGTATATAAACGCTGAAGTATAAAGTGAGAAGCGGAAATTATTGGGCCTTTATGAGGAGAAGTTCATTTGGTGTCTCTGAACAAAGAGATGCAAAGATTTAAATTGGATTTTCTTTCGAGCAGAAGTAAAGGAAATTAACTTCTGCAGTGAAGTGTCTAAAGATAAGACGATTCAAATTTGATAAAAGTAGAAATCTACGAAGTTGAATTATAATTCCTTTCTAACAGAAGCTAAGAAATACGATCTCACATTTAAATAAAAGATTAAATTAGAGTATTTAGCAGGTAGTTTTCCGAAATAGAGATGTCCGAGGAGTGGACGAATTCCAGTTGACATCACATTAAACTGAAAACATTTTTGCGTCGAAGCTCGTTAAAAGTAGTCGTATCGAAGTGAACGTCGAGCGCGGTTCAACGCTACGAAACAATGATCGACTGGGTGTCTATCGTGCGTCATTCACGACGTCGGTTCAGCGATTATATGTACGGTGTGCCCGTAAAAGTACGCAGACGAAGAACAAAGAGACCCTGTCAATCCGTACACCACGGTAACCGTAACGCTCTCGCGCATGATTCGAAACGCTGGAACGATGTTTGCGGATGCTGCTGGAATCATGTGAGTTCAAATAAAATTTTCTGCAAAAATAGGAAAGTTATCTTGTATAAGGAACAGATCCTAAGAATATTTAACCATTATTATGTATTTATTCTAATGCTCCCCTACGGGTTGCGTAGCCTTCACTTCCACTTACAAGAATATTGCTTAATCTATCCTTATTCTATCCTTAACATTATTAACGGAAAAAGGATAGAACGCAATGGTTAGTTTTCAACCAATATTATTACTAAAAATTCGATTAATGCATGAATGGACATATAACAGAATCTGACATCACGTGGTAGCGAATAATTCATAGAAATGCAGAAAAGGGACACCGTTAATACGGTTTCCCCTACTTCCAACCGAAATCGAGTCATCGTTTCGGTATTTATGCGTTTAAAACGCCTCGAAATTCGGCGCGGGGCTTTCAGCTAAATTCGTTTGAAAAGCAGGAAGCCGATGTTTATTTATACGAGCCGGCTGCCGAACGTAGATCAACGTGTAGTTCATTTACCGACACGATAGCGTTAAAGCGATGGGAAATTGACTGGTTGAAAAATTGAGCTTCAAGTACCATCGATTTATTTCTTTTTATTGCGCCGTGTGGAGAGAAAAATAGGTATCCGTGGCTGCGAAGTTAGACTGCTAAATAATGCTGAATTTTATGTGAATGAACCAAAATCCATTTCTGGAATTTCTAAGTTGAGCTTCTGTGTTTGGATTCATAGTTATTGATGACATGTACTCCTTAACAAAATTTTTTTCTCTCGTTCTCAACGCGAGAACTGTAGCGAGGTCGAACAGGATATTCTGGGTGGTCAGTCCACAACGGTCAACGTAAGGACGTAACACAAAACTCTAAAATTAGGCTTACGTTGTGAATAGCACCTATACAAATGTAGTTAGGCTGTGCTAAAACATTCTTGGAAACCTCCAAACGTTTTCATATGCTGACATAATACACGACTAAAATAGTATAGAAGTAGCAGTAAATTTTATTCAAAGATCCCATTATTTATTTTCATTTTATAAATTTAACAGTGAATTGAGTGACAGTGAGACGTGTTTCACTGTATGTACAATATGTCAAAAACCTAAATTGGGAATTTTCCAAGTTTTCAAGTGTGTGCTCCATCAGGAAGAATCATTTTGTAATTTTGTAGTGTATGGTATCTTGAAACAATTTTGTTCATTATTAATTTGAACATGAAGGAATGTAGAATGGGCCTCGACAAAGGAGTTCAAAGAGGCAATTATTATAACTATACTGTCATCAAATGAAGCTTAGAGAGCAACGTTAGGAGCGTTTACGGTCAAAGACGCGCGTGTTCGCATGAAACGAAAAGGTTTCGGTAAACGTTCTCCGCGATCATCGACGCGGCACAGTCCCCTTAAAGAATACGTCGTACCTGGAAGCCCCTCGCGGCCGCGATAATGAAATGAAATCCGGGATTCAGGGGGATTATCCTATGAAAGTCGGAGCGTCGCCGATATCGAAACCTGATGCGACGAGTGTGTCACTCGCAGCCGAGGGCAGCCAGTCGAAACCGCGCCGAACGCTCGTGTACATCCCCCGTATGCATTACATCCCTCTTTTATCGATTTCTTCTGGTTCGTCGACGACACACGCAGTGATGATCTTTCTAAACGTGCCCAAAATCGGACCGTGCGAGGTCTGCCTCTTCAAGGCGCGAACGGAGACGGAAGAACAAAAACGCGTCGAGTTTCACGCGAGACGTCCTATCAAGTTGACGAAGGTAGTTACGTAATATTGTTTGTTATTCAAATGATGGTTTTAACCCTTCGAGCAATGAGTTTTGAAATGGTCAGTTGGTCTGGAATGAATTTTATCATACATGTGCACGGTTTTTAAAATTGAGTTAGAAGTTCAGGTTATTGTGTTGATAGGCATTTTTATAGGCACTTTTGTTAGTGGTGGATGTGGTGACCGAGTTGAGAGGAGTTAGGGAAATTTGATACTCTTAAGAGCGAATTTATTCATTACTGAAAATCGACTTTGAATTTCAGAAAACGCGGTATACTGGCAGAGGCGTGGAGGAGCAGTTGCCACCCCCGCCATTGCCACCCCAGCTGAAGGAGGCAGGACAGCTGGACGGAGTTCCTAGACCAAATTCAGTCGATCGTATTCTTCATCCTGATGGTAGCCAGCACATTCTGACTAGTCATGAGACGCTCAATAAGGTAAGACTTGAGATTTCCTTGATTTCACTTATTGTTGAAAGTTCAATATGGTTTCTACAGCCTAAAATATTTAAACGAATCATTCAATAGAAGCTCTAAGTAGATTACTTTTAGTTCTTTAATATCCAGTTCACTAGAAAAAGACCTAGCACAATATAGATAATGATTCTACGACTGAAAACCATATTGAACAAAATTTTACGTCGCTCATTATATTCCTAACCAAATGGTATTGATTAATACATGAGATTCTGCTTCCTAATGGCCTGCAACGTTCGAAGTGAATTTCATTACAGATAGGGAAACATTTAAATTGCAAATATGGTGAATAATATAAATTGTAAATAATTCAACGCGTAATTATAATTATATGAATATTGTGATTGAAAGAACAATGGTGAATTGTAAGTGACAAGAAGTTCTTGTATAATAAGATTGAGTGTAGCCATTGCAAGGAACTTTTCTATTTGAAAGGGATAATTAGACTAATTAATGATGGGAATTTTTCTACACGAACTTGTTGACAAGTCCACACCTGACCACGTGTGTAAAGTTGACGCATGCTCACGAGGCCTCCGAGCGTTCGCCATCTGTTCCATCCCCTTACAAACGCAACGAAAAATCAATGAGAAACTCTCCGCAAGGTTCTCTGCTGTGCTGTCATTACCGACTGCTTCGAATTAAGTTGGTTATCGATCTCCATTTGGGAATATATTACGCTCGGTACAATTAGTACAAGAAATATTGTAACTTTTCAATACAACAACGTCGAATATTCTTCTTTTTCATACCAAATATTTACAACCTCTACACGACTGTTACCGATGGGTTTCAACCCTTAAGACTGATCTGGCGCCACCCCGCGAGAGATGGCGTGCACAGAGCACCAGTTTCTGCGACTAGTGGCTCGATGGCGCCTCCCTCGTGCCACTGATAAGGGAGCCTGCTGCATTATCTTGTGAACGTCCCAAGGAGCACGTGGACGATGCAGTCCTGCCGCGGCTTCGCACCTCGTCGCCATCTGAGTCGAAACTCGAACCGTGTGCTCGATCGAACCGCGAGTGCGTCGATTCGAAGAATGTCCATCAGAAATCGAGCTCAACCGGTCCTTCTCTCGTTAACGAGGCGCGAGAGACGGCCTTGGCCAGCGTGACAAATTGAAACACGTTATTGATCTTTTCTCGAGACGACCGACTTGGCGTGAATAGTGCAAACGCAATAGTTTTACGTCGTGATCAATGCCGCGTCGGGACGCAAGTATATAGACGCATTCGATGATTTGTCGTTGACTGAAACGCGTGACTCCACGCCAAACTGGTTTTTTAACTCTCTGTTGCACCGTGTAGTCAATTAGGGGTCGAAACAATTCTTGTAAATAAATTCGGAGGGATTCTCGTCAATTTTAATTATTTGTTTACCAGGGTTGCTCAACTAAAAGAACCGCATATTTGTTCTAGATACTTCTAATAATTCGGCAGATTCAGTCGAATGTTAATCAATTCATAAATATATGTGCAAGTAACCAAGAAATAATTTCACCTTCCAATTGAATTTAAAATGTTATTTTTGAAAGCAAAATAAAATCCATGCCAAAGAGGGTTATCTCATCATATTTCTTCGGAGCACTTTTCCACTGGGAAAAAGGGTCTCGCCTGGCACCATACGAGTGATAAATTCCAGCAGTTACAAATTCGAAGGAGGTCAGTTTTCTTTTCACAGAAGTTGGTACCGTGACAAATGTCGCGGAGTGATTCACCAGCCGTTGGAGAATTATCGAAGTGAATCCTGAATGGATATCTCTGCCAGCTATCGTAACGCAGCAATTGAGATTTCGCGTGGTTTGTTTTCATAGAGGGAGTATACTCGATTGCCGGTGAATTGGAGTAAGAGAACAGGGAGCGCGTTTATGTTTACTTCTTCGGCCGGCTTGTATATTTTCTGTGCGTGTTTCTACCGGTATGCAATGTTGCGAAATTTCACCTTCTGGGATGATATCGTTGCCATTTTCCATTTACTTAATTTAAAGTCTGCTATTTATAGTCTTGGCTGATGTTTTATACTGCATCGCATTATTATTATTTGTTATGGATTTTGATTGAATGATCAGTATTTTTAATTCAGACAGGTGTGAAGCTTCTATAAACTCAAGAACAAATAGAAAAGACTCAAATTACCTATTCATATAGACTTAAAACCAAACCAAACAAAACAGATGTTAGCACAATGATAACAATACAAAATACAAAAAACTTTAAAAATATAACTTTCAATTCAAGAATCACAAGATTTTATACATTGCTACTGTAAACCTAACGACATTAAAAGCTGGTATATGTCATTTTCAAGGTTTATTTGCGTGGCAAATTAACTGTGCATATACTCTGCATGCTTCTCTCTGTAAAATTCGACTTAAAACTTTTCGTCGTGCGAAAGGAGAGAAGTGCACTCCGGCGCATTTGATTCGACGTCTGCATTACTTGAAGAACGAAACGCATTATCGCATTTCGCTACACATTGTTCGCTTTCATCGTTCAAGTTATACACCGGGGACGGAATATCAACGACGGTACGTTTCCCGGAGCATTATAATAATTTTCACACTGTGACACGGGACGTATTTCTCGCGTTGGATATTCTCCTTCTGGCCGACTTCACCTTTTCTTCCTCCGTTTCTCTCTGGTGATTTATCACAACGTTTTTACCTTCCAACGTGGAATCAAGCTTCAGCTGTACGGGGTCTCTACGTCAACCGTGGCTGAGGAATTTTTATGACCGACCTGCGACGAGAAAAACCGGGAAAAATCGTCGCTACGTTAGAGAAAGGTGACTGCTTCGTTCGATGTCGTGTCGCTTCTTGGCACTGATAGTGGAGCGTATAAAAAGACGTCGGTTCGGTTTTTATTGGATTGGTAAACCTCGTACGAGTAGAATTATCTGTTTCACTATCGATGCCAAGTTGCGACGCGATTTATTAGTTTATCTTAAGTTCATTGCGAAGTCACAGTATCATGTTTGAATTAGAATCGGATGAGAAGACTTTTTCCTTGAAAACGATCCACGGCACGTGAAATGAGCATGTTAGGTACCATAGAAACGTTTCTTTTCGCCAGGATACAATAAAAGGTTCACGGACACGCCATTAGCCCCGGTGCTCTTCTGCTTGACCCACTTGTTAAATCAGAAAGTAATTCGCCCGATAACCCCTAAATGGATCCTGTTATCAATACTCCCGAGTACACCCGGGGGCAGATTGCGCGCCTAGTTTCAGTTGTCTAACATCCCTTAAGTTCGGGAGCAGGGGAGAGAGGGAGAAATCGAGGCGAAGCTCTCGCCAGCTGATGGAATGGACTTAGGAAGATTCAGGTGGAAGGGGATTCGGTCCAATCGAACAGTCTTCGGGCACTCTCCATTTCTCCTCCGCGATTCGGCTAGGCGTGTGCTCTTTAAGGTGACCCAGATCGAGTCTAGTGCCATTTTATTTCCCACAGTATCTCGTTCTATGCGATTCCATTGTTAGCGAACCGCGAGAGCATTGTTCTTTTTCAACGTAGCCACGCTGACACTGAATTTTCTGTTTGTCTTTTGCACTCCAAGAATTCTTTATTATACAAGCGACTTCGAAGTAATTTTGTGGGGGTGTCTTGTGAAGATTAAGAGCGTTCTTATTCTTACGAAATATCGATAAATGTTTGTAACTATTTTGAAAAACACGAAATTATCTTCAGAAATATTTCACGAATCTCACAGCTACTTATTGTAATGTTTCTTTCGATCCTTGTCGAGTTTTATTGCCAATGGGGTGGGTTGTAATTTATTATTTAATAAATCAGCCGCACAGGAAGCGTCTAATTAACCATAAATCTTTGTCGTTATCACCGAGCAATTAGCGAAATTACACGCGAGTACGTAGTCGTGGCTCGGTCTATAAAACATACTAATTGAAGAGGTGGATTCCCTGCACGCGAGACTAGCTCGCGTCGGATTCGGTTGGACCGTTTAATCGGCTTCTGATAAACCGTGTCGCCTATCTGATGACAACTCAGCGTTTATTAAAAGTTCATTCCTTTTATAATAAAAACTCCACAGGTCAATTTTCATTCGCAATATTCTCCTGATTCGATCGCGTTTTCATCGGCTAACGAATCGTTTCGTTTTATCGGAACATTCGAGTGTCCGCAATTTAATTGGGGAGGGCGGTACGCAACGTTTTGACTTCTAATCTAATCACGATTTGCTCGGTTCACGAATTACCATCGTGCCGGCAACAAGCCTCGAGTTGGCTTCCTGGATGAAATCTACGACGCAAACGTGACTACGGGCGTACCGACGATACCTTCTAAAGCTTCTGTTTCGTCTATAGTTATCGCAGATCAATCGGGCTTTCGTGGGTCTTCGAAGTTCTGCTCTTAGCTCTTTATCCGTTTACATGAACGACTGGTTGCGTCTTTATTGGCGCGGATATATCAGATAATTAGTGATGAAATCACGTTCTAGTTTCTGTCTATCCTCTCACATTTTTTTAAAACTATGGCTAAATTGCCTCTACTTATCCACTTAATTGCTCGACTATTAATACCCATTGCTGTAGATTGTGCCACTGAAGAATACTATATAGCTTTAATTATAAATATAAAGCTTTCTATTAAACAAGTCACTCTTCATTACTGTCTAAAGACACATTTTCAAATTATCGGAATCCTGCCTGAATAAATTCCATCTGGTTAGAAATAAAATATAAATTTACCAATTCGATCAATCAAAAACAAGTTCATTCAGAATATAAGTAAATCACGTTGGCCTGTCTTCGGCTATTCCAGACATAAATACTCCTTTAAAGGTTGAATTTACGTTCCCTTATCGTGACCCAGAAGAATCAATCGAAAGTCCGTGAGGTTCCGCAGTCGGGTGATTCGCGACACGCGTGATTCGTGCAGGAATAACCAGGAAGCCGGGTGGGTGTACCAGTCCGATATCGTGATACGAACGCGCTTAAACCGCGT